GGCCCAGCACGAGGGCGGCCTGCTTCCTGCACGTGGCGCCCCGTCCTCTGACCTGTCCGCAGGGCCGGGGTCAGCAGTAGTCAGCATCTCCCGGCCCTCCCTGAACAGGGCTGTGCAGCCCACCACACGGCAGGCCCGCAGCTGCCTCGAGGCTCTGTCCGCCGGGCGGCTCCGTAGGGAGCGCGGACACCGCAGTCCCGCAGAGCGCCCAGCGGTGCTGCTGCTGTAGGACTGAGCCCCCGCTGGTAAACCAAGGGGTCCTCTGCCTGTCCCGTGCCTGCCAGGCAGACGCGCTGAGCGGAGGTGCCAGTGGTGTCGGGGGAGGCCGTGAGGGACCTTCTGTTCCGCTTCCTGTCTTCTTTCTGCTTCCTGGTCCCTTTCCGTGTCCCCCGCCTGTGCAGGCCCTCGTTAACCCTCTCCTCCCCCGTTGTGTTTGCTTCTGCCAAGCTGAGCCACTGAGGACCCAGCTGTGCTGCGGACACGGGTGTGGGAGCTCAGGCTCCCGCCACCGCCACCTGCACCGCCGCCACCACGTCACCTGCGCTTCGGAGCCCCAGGCCCGGCCTCCTCCCGGCTGCCTGCCCGCTGCCGCCTCGTCCTACAGAGCGCGCCTGTCCTGGCCCGGAGCCCTGCGGGCGTCTCTCCCGGGAGACTGGAGCCCAGAGGGTCAAGATATGACTTGTCCAGAACACGTGTTTTAATAGAAAAAAATTTTATAAAATGAACTTTTAACACTTGCCTCAAACCTCTAGGTTAAACTGCCAGCCTTTAGACGGGTGCCTGTAGGGTCAGGGGACGGAACCGCGGCGGGTAAAGGGCGTGTGTCCTCAGGACGGGGTTTGGGAGGCCCAGGGGGTCGGATGGAGGCAGTGCCCGTGGGTAGGAAAGGGGGACCCGAGGGCAGCCCTGACTGGGTGTTGTTAGTCTGCGTTTCACACCCGGCCCAGTTGGACGCTGGTCCCTGTGAGCGCCCTTCTCGTCCCCACCTGGCCCGGGCCCCGCCTCAGAGGCGCCCGGCAGGGGTAGAGGCTGCTGGTTGCTGTCGGGTCTGGGGTTCCCGGAGGGAAGGTCCAGGTCCTGCTGGAGACGAGCGAGCGGTTCCTGTGCCATGAGTCCGAGCCGCGGTCAGAGCCCCGCCCCGCGGCCCGGCCCAGGACCTTTCTGGGGACTCGGCGTCTGGGTTGCGTTGGAAAGGAGAACAGGCAGCTGTTTGGGCATTAGTGGGCCAGCAGCTGAGATTGCTGCCTGCCGATTCGTGATCTGTGTAATCAGGCCTCGCGCGGGTTCTCCCAATTCCTGGCTGACTGCTCGCTGCTGGCCCTCCCCTGGCTCCACGCGGAGGAGAGGGAAGGTGGCGGCTTGCTTCCCGTGTGGCCTCAGGGCAGGTGGCATCGGGAGCTCGCTGCCCTCGGCCCTCTGGGGCTTGCTTTGCTTTTTACCCGTGGTGTGTGTCCATCTCTCCACCCCCCCGCCCCCCAGTGGAGCTGAAACGAGGCGGGTTCCTGGGAGGGGGAGCTGGCCGGCGTGGCGGCCGTGGCCCAGCGGGTCTTTCCCAGGGAGGGCAGAGGCGGAGCGCTGCCTGCGGGTGCAGGAGAGCCCTGGGCACCTGCTCGGCCCTGTGGTCGGCCAGACACGGGAAGCGGGGCCATCCTGCCCACACGCCTGGCAGTCGCCTCCCTCTGGGATAGAGGGGCTCCCCCACTTTGCGGTACTGAACGGGAACCTGGGAGTTTGACTCAACTTCCTGCTGCCTCCAGGGCCTGTGAGGACTCCCCTCAGCTCCCCGTGAGGGTGCGCCTGCTTTCTGCCAGGAGTGGGCGAGGGCGGAGGCGGGTGGGGAGCGGCCTCTGCTGGGCCGCGGGCAGGGGCTACCATGAGGCCAGCGGGAACAGACACTACGACGAGCCCTCGGCCGCGCTTGGTCACATGCAGGTGTTCCTCCTGGAAGCTGCTACGTGCTCTCTATTTATTCAGGGTATTTTCCTATGGGGAAGCCTCGGCCGGGCTGCGTGGGCGCTGGCTGTGTGTTGAGGTGCGTTTCTTTCTGGATATCCAAAAGGAAAGGACGGCCTGCTCTTCCCTCCTCTGGGCAGCACTCCCCTTCCGGGCAGCAACTGCCAGGACTTGACAGGCTTCCAGCGGACGCCCTGCTCGGCGCATCTCGGTCAGGTCACGCGTGTAACAGCCGTGTCTGTCTCTGAACTGCGGGCCCGTGTCGGTGGGACGTGGAGTGGGTCCCCTGTCGCCGCCGCAGGCCCTGGCTGGCCCTCCTGCCTGCCAGCTGCTCGCTCCCTCGGGCGTCCGTGCCAGTCCCAGGGGCGGGAAGCCGCAGCCGCCCGGACCTTGGAGGCTGGTCCGACCTCGTCTGCTCTGAGGCCAGGCCGCAGAACGGCTGCCAGGAACGCACTGTTGCCAATGGTGTGGCGACGGAACGCATTGTAATAAAGATGTTATTTAATCTGTCTCTGTATTTTGATACTTGAATGACTTCCCCTTTTACTTTACTGTACATATAATTGTTCATCTGTCCAGTTTTGCCCGAATTCCATCTTCTGGTACCAAACAGCCAATCTGTGCAGCAACATAGACTGACCTCACTGCAGGCGTGAGTACCCTGGGCCCCGGCATTGGTTTTGTTATTTTCCTAACGTGCAACTTAGAACAGACGGAACTAATAAACCAGAAGCGACACGAAACCTGCCTTGCTTTTGGAGTCTTTGGGTTGGAATGTTTGCTGGTGTTTTCCTGGTGCCGCACAGGCCAGCGCCGGATGGGTGTGAGCCCTGCCGTCTGCCGGGCGCGTTTGGGAATCTGCTCTGCTCACGTTCCTCGGGGGGTGGGTCAGCTCCACTTCACCTGGTTGGGTTCAAGGCCCCGCACTTCTCCCCCCTCCCGCCCCCTCCTCGGGAGCATTGTCTCAGCACCAGCGGGGCCACGTCCGGTACAGCTGCTGCGTCCTGGTCAGCCGGTCAGCCCACACACGTGGAGCGTCTGCACAAGGCAGCGTGGGGGCCGCGCTGTGGAAGTGTCTTCCTGGGGGGACTTAGTTTGGCTGTGAGGTTGAGTTTTAGACACACAACTAGCTACCAGCCGGGAGCCGGCCGCCAGGCCCACGGGGCAGCCCCAGGGTTGTGGGGACTCAGTCGGTGCTCCCAGAGCCGGTGGCAGGAAGGAGGGGAGGCGCCCAGGCTGGGTTTTGAAAGGGGAAGGTTTGCAAATGACCCTAATGACCCCTTCATTGACTGGCCAGCCCCTTTACAGGCAACCGTCTCATCGGCCCTCCCGCCTTTCTGGGTGTTACCACCCCTATTTACAGAGGGAAACAGGCCCATGGCGCGGGGGAACCCTGGAAACCTGGTCCGGCGTCCTCAGAGCCTGTGACACTCCGTTGGAAAGGGCTTTGCAGCCATCGCTGAGCTGACCCAGCACCCAGGCGTGTTGATGACGGAAACAAGGCCAGAGCAGGGCGCTGTCCCTAAGCAGCCAGCCAGCTCATGGCAGCACCGAGTCCGGGTCCTTCCAGCACAGGGCTTCCGAGGGGCCACACAGAGTGGACAGGCCAGCCTCCGCTCCCTTGCTCCTGCTCCTGCGCCCTCCTGGGCAGCAGACGCCTTAGCCACTGGTGCCCCTTCCACGGACACTGTCCCAGGACACGTTGCCACTGTCGGGCCCTTTGGTGCCATCAGAGCCTTCTGTGCGCCTGCTGACCCGGCTGCAGTGCTGATTGGGCCGGGGACCTGGGGGTGGGAACCTGCCAGTTCACACTGGCACCTGGGCCCGCTGCTCTGAGCCTAGGCCAAATGGGAACCAGAATTGAACAGAAGGGAGAGGACGAAAGGGCCGAAGGGAGAAGGAAAGGGGTGGCGAGGCCTCGGGAGGAAGGGACGGGCACATGCAACACAACAGCATCTGCCCCACCTCTACCCAGCAACCTCTCCCCGGCTCACGGTGGTCAGGGGCCCACACTGGCATCCTCCGGACTGGAGGCTGTCGTGGGGAGGCCTGGGTGTTGCCTTCTGCTCTGTGTAGAGGAGCCTGAGGCAGACGGGCCCTCACAAGGCCTCGCCCATGTGCTCCCCTCCCCATCGGGCCATTTCTGTCACACTCCCCGCATCCTCCCGGCACCCGGGCCGCTGGGCGTCACTCTTGGAGGATGAGACAGCCACACAGCAGGGACCAGAATTCTGTCACCTGGAGCGCTTCCAGGGACAGCTTGAGACCCATCAGCCTGGCCACCTCTACTGCACCTGAAGGTGTCTGGCGCCCACTGGCTCCCTGCAAACAAGGCCAGCAGCCCAGTGGGCCTGCAGTTCCATGGGCCCACCCGGCACCAGGCTCTGTGACCCACACCCACGGTGCCCCGAGCTCTGAGCTGCCCGTTGTGCAGCCTCTATGGGCTGTGGCTGCTCCTCCCAGGCCTCAGGTGCTGGGAACACTTACAACAAGTATTGATCAAAGTAGACTCCCTACCACCATGAAACATCCAGTAACCGGCGCTGGGACAACGGGGCAGCCATGGGGGGGAGATGCCTGTCCCTCCTTTCACCAAATAAACTCCAGATGGCAGGCTTATTTAAATGGTAAAGGAGAGAGAGAAACCTAAG